TGCATAGCTTCTTCACTCAAAGATTATGCGAAGCTAGAACAAAATTAACGAGTTTTGACGTAAGACAAGCGCAATACATACTTTGTTCTTTTTCTTAATATCTTTTTGCCCAGAAAATATAATTAAAAAAGTTAAGAGTGTTCAGAACACATAAGAGCACATAAAACAGTTCGAGCCTGGACTCATTAAGATCTTTTCCGCTGAGCCATCCCGTGACCGCCTTAGTGACTTCGACAAGAACCGTGCTGAGGAAGAAACCCAATGCGGTGGAGCACCACCCCAGCGCCGTGCTTATGCTCCTCATACTCGCCGGAGATTCTCTATAAAAAAATTCTAACATTCCTCCAAGAGTCAACAAATCTGAGAAACTCAAGAAAACATATTGAAGCTCTAGCCAGAACACAGAGATTTTAATGTTGTTGTGAATTGCTTCATGTTTTCTCCAGGCCTCCACCATGGCTGCAATCGCCATCGAAACAGAAGTAAGAGCTAACCCAGCTCCTATGCGTTTCAAATTGAAGCTGGATGATCTTTCGTTGTTGCTTGATGAGATCCTTTTGGCGAAGAATTGGCATAAAGCTATAGAAGAAAGCATTAAGATGAGAGCAATTGCATTGAGGGAAGCGAGTGGAACCTTGATGGAATGCGTGAGTTTTCTGTTCATCATCATGCCTTGTACGGAGAAGGTCGCTAGTTGTGCTAAGCAACAGGTCATGAAAATTGTACTCCCAAAGATTGGTAGGAGAGCTAGAAACGTTCTTGTTTCTTCAACTTCTGTTGCAGAGATCTTGTTGTTGAGCTTCGCTTTATTAAGAAACCTAGAAATGAACGTTTACACGACAATTAATGAAACAGAGAAAATGAATCCCTAAAGCTTGTTTATGTTAATTTAGTGGGAATAAAAACAAAAACATGTTTAGAATAACTACTTGAACTTGTTGTGATGAATGCTTTTGTCGGTAGGGTGTTGACTCTGCGTCATCTCTGCATCCGTTACAAACCTATTTCGGTTTCTTGCGGCAGAAACAAACACATTCACAACTCTGGTCAAAGGACTTCCACTTGGACGCTTGAACCGATACATCGGGAATCCCACAGCAAAAATAATGAGCGCAGAGGCTAAAACTGCGGTAGAAATATCGAAGCTGGTACTCCATCCTCTGTTTTCCTCGATCCATACCATAATGGTTACGGCCAAGAAAGCACCAAGACATATAGAGAAGTAATACCAACTGAAGAATCCTGAGATCAGACTCTGCTTTCGACTATCGAGCTGGTCGCCTCCGTGAGCAGGCAACGAGGCCTTTACACCTCCAACACCAGTAGCTACCGCATAAATTCCGGTGAACAGAACCATTGATTGCAAAGTTGAAGGAGTTTTTTCTCCCTGAGGTTGTAGCTTAGGGCTACGACTTTGGATTGTCAACAAGATCAAACCTTATCAAGGAAAGAAGTAAACATTTAAGTTATATACTAATCTTTTGACTCTTCTTTTCAATGGAGTTGTTTTAGTTACCAGGAGTTCAATAGAACAGAAGAGAACGAAAGCGGTGAAACGAGTGAGAGAGTCGGCGACAAAACCACCAAATATTGTGAGCAAAAACGATGTTCCTGTGAAGTTGGTCACCATGTTTGCTGCTTTGGCTGATGAGTAATGCATCGATTTCGTAAAGTATGTGAAGAAGTTGGTTGAGTATGCTAAGAACACCATATTCTCCATCATCTCCACAACTGCATTAGCCCACACCATATATACTATAAATATTTTTTAAAGAAGGAAAATTTTGATTTTTTTAATTATCTTTGGAGGATTTTAGAAATTTACCACAAGCAATGGAAGCAGCTTTAATCCCACCATGTTTACCAGGGATCGCCTCTTTACCTCTCCAATCTTCAAACTTCTCTTCCATATCAGTCTGCATCTCTACGTTCCCTCAGATTAACGAATATGTGGTTTATAAGTGTTTATACCTTGAAGTTACCGATGGTGGGTTGCTTCTTGCTATTAATTTATATAGAAACGAAGAAAAAGTTGCGTGAGAGATGTAAAAAACATAGGAATTAAGATTAGAAACCGAAAGCAATTACTATACACCGAAAACAATTACTATACACAGAATTGATATTTTCACAAAAAGAAATTTTGGAATTGCAAGCAAAGGAAAAACATAAACACAACTTTTTATTAACAATGGGGCCTAGTAGTAAAAGATTTGCAACACAATTAACTTTTTTTCTTATTATAAGTTTTTTAGTGAAAATACTTTCACTCCGATTTAGTTAGTAAGAATAAATCATTAAAAATTTCGAGAAATTGGATATTCTACACGAGACTGAAAAATGGTCCACATCATATTTTGTTATACATGGTGTATTTTATAATAGAAACAAAATATTCATAATTCATTTTGCAAGCGTTGGTATAAAAAATTCTGATTTGACAAGCGTTGATTATCTAAGCTAAAATTTCAAACAATAGTCCGAGAAGGATGGTCAACGGTTATGAATGTCGTAAAACCCACCTTGGGAGAATGTATTGCCAATTGTCGGACATTCATCTCAAGATGGCAAAAAAATGACCAGCTTATCTCCTTGGAGGCCATTGCGGAATTGAAAACTCGCCTAAAAGAGACAAAAAGTAGTGATTTTATCTTTTGTGAAAGAAATCAGACGTTTGTAGGATCAATTATGAGCTGCCTTGATGGAAGAGGAAGCTTTCTACAACAGACGAGCAATGTTACGTAGTTTAAGGAAAGGAACCAAAATATAGAAAATTCCACGCCTCTACCAAGCAACGACATTCCCGTAATAAGATTATTGATATACTTAGTGATGTTGGTGTGTAGACGAAAAAAGAAGAAGAAATAGAACAAACAACCACTAACTATTTGAACGACACTTTCTCATCCTCTCTACAATCTCAAGATTTTGAAGTTTCTTTGTAACATGTTCCTAGCTTAGTAACCTCGAATAGGAATGACTTTTTTCTCCTAGAAGTTTCAGTAGCTGAGGTT